GTGTATATATATATATATATATATATATGTATGTATGTATATAAAGACGTGTTGTCTTTCTCATGAGTGATGAAACGAGATCGTTTATGCTGTCAACTTCAGGTACACGCATGAATGCGTTGTCACGTTGAACTTATTTAGTATATTTTAACTCACCCTTTAACTTCTTTGCCTTTCCATATGGATTTCGTCAAGCAACTTGACCCTTTTATAATGGCAGCTGCGAGCTCCTCCATTTTTCTTCCTTTATATGTATACACACACACATATATCTATATACACACACACACACATATATATATACACACACACATATCTACATTTTCACCAGGATTACTACATTCACGGAGGCTATTAACTTAAGATTGTCAAAAGCAGCCCACAAAAATTCTAGTCAATTAGGACCTGTGTTATCTTCTTATTGGTACCCGCAGTGTGATAATCAAACCCTCTTTAACTTAGCCGCCGAATTTGTCTTTTTTTTCTTTTTCTTTAATAAACATATTTTCAATCTTGAAATTAATGAGTTATTAACTGTTGGATGATGGATAATTTTTTTTTTTTTTTAATGAAACATTTTGAATTGGAGTGAAGCTATATCTTTTTATATTTATTTATTAATATGTACGTATCACCTTTATAAATTTTTACTAAAAAATAACAAATTAGACCGAAATATATTAAAGAGGGTGAGCATTATAATTAGTATATATGTATCAAATAGGGTGACTGTTTATTTATATTTTATTATATATTATGCTGTATAGTATATCTAAAGATTTAAATTGATAAATAAAATAATGATATATTATTTACGTTTTAAAATTTACTAATATTATTCATATAAAACTCTATTGTAATTTGTTTATCCCAAGTTATAAAACATTAATTAACTGAATAATAATTTGTCCTCTTGTCAACTTTCGACTAGTTGGTTCTCCTCGTGGTAATCAAATTAGGAAAGTAATTTAGATTGCTGGGTTTGACAGTTTTTGGGGATCACTGAGGATTTGTAGTCCAAAAATGTTGTAAATAATTAAAGTTATGAATATATAAAAAGTCATACGCATATGGACTACTCCACTTTCAGCAAACCCATGTCATCTTGATAAGGCAGAAATTTAAAAGCTAATATATATATATATACACACACACACACACAGCACACGCACACACACATGCTAGCTAGCAGTAGCTCTACCAATATGCATGAAATTAATAGTATTACGTGTGAAAATGATCTTCTTTGATTTGAAATGTTGATTCAATTACTTGTAATCCTCATGCATGTTTTACAGAACAATATGCATGCAAATGCTCTCCTTTTGGACATATACATATATATATATATATTGAAAAACAACGAGAAAGGTTTAAGAAAACAAAAGGATTCGTGGAAGAACTTTTTGGGGGGAGGGGAGGAGAAAAGAAAAATAAAGGATTTACTATGAGAATTAGTGGGAATGACGCGAAACTTTAGGGAAAGAAGGATGAATTGCAGAGAAGGAAAATGGGAAAAAAAAGGAAAAAAAAAA